TTACCCTAAAATGTATAGCAACATAACTACCGAGGACATTCAGATATTAAAAAAATACAAAAAAGCCTTAATTCGTGAAATTTTGTTATAACATAGACATTTACTTTGTCTCGAGGGTTTGACAATCATTATTTCAGCATGTTAACATGTAAGATTGTGAGTTTTGTAATACTACACTGAGGAAAGTTTTGATAAAAAAAGTATAACTATATTAAAATTTACTTCATTTTTTAGGAAAGTTTAGATGTACTCTTCCATTGACGCAAATTATTACATTTCATCTAATTTCTTACAAAAATAAATAGTTTTCTACGTATTTAAAAAAAAATTAATTTTGATACGATGCTCTTAGCAAATTTTATAAGCAAATTAGCATTTTTTACAACAGCTCAATAAATTTTGAAGTTATTAATTAGAAGAAATTTTTGTAAAAAAATCATTTGTAAGTCAATATTACATTAAATATTTCATGAAATTGGTTTTCTTACATTTTACTTTTTGCAGGTGTGACCGTTGGTGCATTAATGCATATCATTTATTACTTACCTACAACTTACAGACGTTAAAGCTTAAGTACTTATTGATTATTGAAATATATATTCATCGGTGTGTATATAAATAATTTGTAAATAATAACAGCGGACTACCTGTAAAACAAAAGAAGATACTTTCTTGCCTTAAAATTTAATAATTATTGATCAACCGTAAAATAAACTAATTTGTTTATAACATTTATTTAAAAACAATTGAAGCCAACGCTTTTGTTGGACAAGAATATTTTTTTCAATAGTTAGACTATATTTGAAAGAGATTAAAACGATTTCCTTCGAGGTGGAAGAAATTTTCTTATCCACCATTTTTTCCTGCTTTAACTATCGGACTACGAGAAAATGACTGTGATGTCTGATTAATAAATTTCGTATAATCTGTAGTTATTTATTATGATGTTTCTAATGTTATGTATAATATTTAATGTAAGATGATAAACTCTCAACATAAAATTTCATAGTAATGTTTTTTTAACTCGAATACAATGGAAGTTATTTGCATATTTTTCAGTTGAAAACTATATTATTAGCGTCACTTTCTTAATAATTGGGTTCTGTTGTGGAATAAAGT